ACTGACGCTAATAAATGCGCTTTGCGTCCATTTACGAAATTTCTTACTGAGCTTACTGTGTCTGCACCTTCACTCAGTAGTCGAAGAAATATCGGCATATTCTATAAAATCCTGAATGAACAGTATTTAGTTCTTATTTTGTCTGACGTGGAATTATACTCGGCTCGCTTATCAATATACATAACTGAAGCGTATTTTCTTAGCTATCTTTTCTTAACAAATATCGTAATATTGTATAGTTTTTCGGTAGCTGAGCTCGACGCTTAAAACTCTCTTGCCTTTCATAAATCGATAATTCCGCACGTATACGGTTGCGCCCTCGGTGGTCAGCGGAAGAGTGTAAACGTTGGTTCCTAATATAAACCAAGCCCTACACTACCAGTTTTTATGAAGCTTTAGAAATTATAGTATTTTTGACTTTTTTCTGTTACTATTACAAAAATATTGTAATCCTCATGATATTTGATATATAGCGTCACTCACTATGGTTCATACAGTGCGGCGTCACTTTTACTACTTTTACCTTTTGTACCTAGGCCAAGCAGAGTTCTATTAAAGTTCAGTTTTACTTTAGCACACATATTCATATATTTATACCAAACCATATATGAATGTATGTAAATGTTAGTATATTTGCGTGAAATTTACGTTACTGCTGCTCCCCACCTCAACCTTACACGTACTGGGTGAATGAGTGAACGAAAGAAGTCATAATAGGACAGTAAGTCAATGAGCCTCTGCAAAATTTTCTGCTGCTTAATGTGCTGTGTGCTCGTTTTAGCTCATTTGCCAAAATGTTTATCATAGCCGGGCGTAATGTATCGCAACAAAGGTTTCATGGCTTTGTTGAACTAACGGTTGTAGAAAAGGCATAAATTAACAGAGATATTATGCACCCATGGTTATTTAAATGTTGTTTCTTACGTTCTTGGACACTTAGCGATTATAGCTTAAAATAATCAGTATTTATTGTACTGGATACACTGTGCTCTGGAGGGTAAGTTGATACCGAAAATCAACTCTTAAGTTCACAATCATTTCTCAATTTTGTAAACTATAAAATCTCGTCTAAATTGTTAAATTTAATCAAATTGATATAATACCTGTTCAAGATCTATAGTAGAATTACTACCCAATGCAATTTAATTTCTATTAGATTATACCAGTTTATGCTAATTGCTTCTTCGATTCGCACACCCTCAGTCTTTAGCAAATGAAAAACGCCTTTGTATTTATATAAATAGCTTTGTATAGATGTAGTTGATTATGTTAAGAAAAGACATCTCATAAGCGAAGAATTTGTACGGGCCTAAAGTAACGGTAATTCAAGTACATAGTTTTAGGAAAGTTTCTATCTCAAAATGTTATAAATATATATGTATACATCACTTCTATCTATAGATTATACCTGTTTTCATTATTTATACCAGTTGTTTTGTTCTATTCACCAATATCCAATCGCACTTAGCAATGAAGAGACAACTTCTATAAACTTACATATTGATGTATAAGATCATTGTTCAGGATAAAGACAAATTCACTTATAATGGGCGTGGCTATAAGTAACGGTAGTTTCAAATATTTCATATAACTTGAACTCTTAACCACACTTTTATAACTAGCATACATCTGTGTGATTTCTATGTATGATATATACCAGATTACCAGTTGTTGTTTTATTCGCCACTTGAAGACTGCTTCTTATGTTAATAAGCATATCAGATCTTTTATCAAGATATAAAGCAAAATCGGTTTATAGTGGGCGTGATAAATAATATATACGGTATTTCAAATTATTATATTGGAATATTTTGAAATTCCAATTATATATATATAACTGGGTATCGCCTAAGTCATTATGTATGTGATACTTGAGTCCGTCCTTACGAACTTGACTCTTCCTTAATTTTTCATTTCAACTTATATTCTACTCTTATTTGGTCGTCAACGTAAAATACCGGAGTGGCACGTATCTAAAGGGCCCAAAAAGGAAATACTTAAGCACACACACTTACACTACTTGTATATAAATACATACATAGTATATGTGTGTGAGCGCTTTATGAATATGCTGATATGCATATGTACATTATATATATATATATATATATATATGCATATATCTGCACTAACACAACAACAAGAAAACTGCGTAAATTATGACAATGTGGGCACACAATGTTAACAACAACAACAATGCAAGCAAATAAAACAAAAAATAACAAAAGACACCGAGATAAATCCAAATTTATACACGGTATTTATATGTTTGTATGTGTGTGTGTGTGTGCGTGTGTGTTAGCTACAAACTGCCAACGTTCGCTATTTATTCTTCTGCCTCACAAGGCTTGAAATTATGAGCTTTCGCGTATTTGCGTATGATATGTGTGCGTGAATGATAATGATAATCGCAAATAGCTGCGCAACAACAGCAAACAACTGGCCAAGCAACGCAGACAACATGCATGCCGCACAGTTCAGCGGCTTATGTATATGTATGTATTTTAAAAATGTATGATGTATGCGTAAGTATGTTAGCAATACGCTCCCGGTGCCGATCTGCAGCTGGCATGCGACTTTGGCAACACAACGCTTCCAGTATTATTTATCGACTGTGGCACGAGAGTTAGTCTGCTGCATATTTTCCGATTTGAATGTGTTGTTTGTTACTTTGCTTTTTGTTGCTTCTGCTTGCCTAACTGCGATTTTTGCTTTTATTTGACGAAATGTGTCGACCGACTGATCTGTAGCGACAATAGCCGTCGGCAACATTGTTGCGCACATACACAACAACAACATACAACAACAAATGCGTATAAATTATAATAAATTGTACACTTGGGAGCTTACCTACTATCTCGCATACATATCTACATACGCACAGCGCCCTAAGCGGCACCAGATCTTATGCCATGCTGTGCTATGTTCTGTTATGTTATGCCACCGCTTGTTGTTGTATGAGTGCTGAGTGTGATAAGCCTCAAATGTGAACAAATATGGCAGTAATATCAAAATTATACAAGCGTGCGTCTGCAACTCAACGAAATTGGGGCAAACTCACGCACATAAACTACACACATATATAGATACACTATAACCAATTATAATCCTACGTAGAACATATCCACACATGTGTGAGTATGAGTTTGAAATTGGTTGTTGTGGTTTTGTTTCAGCCTTTGTGCTACGTTTGTTTGATGACACTTTCGCCTCGCTATCTTGTTTTGCGTTTTTATTGCAGTGCCACAACAACATGTCGCTGCGCCTAGGCAGGCGTATGTGTGTGTGTTCATGCCTATCACGCGAGATTTCAGCTCTTGCTTTGATAAGATTCTGACACGAATCGCAGTGTACACTAACTTTGTGGGTCTTCTTTCATGCTCCGCAATAGCTTCAATCTCTGTGGTATCCGAACCAAAAGCATATTAATTTGTTTAGTGCCCAGTAGGAAAAATTGCTTAGTACTTGCTCTAAAAAATGGTATATTAAAAAGAAAATGTAATAAAAGTAAAATTAGTGAAACTTATATAGTTTTACATTGTCGCAGTCAGTAAACCAAAAAAATCAAATGCTGCACATATTTTTTAACTTATTTAATTAATAAGTGTAAATAAAGCATGGAATTTAATAAAAGTATTATAACTGAAGGGAGGTTATAAGTCAGTAAATTATGCATGTTGCATAATAAAATATATTATTTTGGAGGTTGCCACCTATGTACCTCTTAAGCAACATCGCATAAATTTTCCGAGACGTATATATTTTGAATTTCTAAATTGTTTATATTTATTGAACTTATAAACTAAAAAATTATATTAATCTTACATTAAATTATAGAATGAAATTATGTTTTTGGGGGTTGCCACCTTTACATACTTAAGTAACAAGTAATTTGCATTTTTGTAGTTACAAGACTTTATATATTTTTATAAAGGTTTATGAAATCTTAGAAACGTAGTGCCATCATTATTAAATTTCCAAACCAATAGAAAGGAAATAATTTAATTTTGTTATATAGGGTAATTGGTAAAATAAGGTGGTTTTAAGCGTTAAGCAAACAAACTCGTTTTTGAAGTTGTAGAATGAAAATATTTTTAGGTTGCCACCTGTTACATACTTAAGAAGCAGGCACATAATTTATAATTATGTTGTTACAAAGCTTCAATATATTAATTTTAAGCTTTAAAGACTTGTTGGGAAAACTTAAACGTGGTTGGCACCCATTATTAAAAACGTATAAATCATTAGTAAACGAAAAATTCGAAATTTGTTTATATATTGTAGGTTTAATAACAAAGTGGTTTTAAAGCGTTAGTAAAACAAATCGATTTTGAAGTTCTAGAATGAAAATAATATTTTTGAGGGTTGCCACATGTTACATATTAAGTAACTAGCACAAATTTGCGATTTATTGTAGTTACAAGATTTTAATGTATTAATTTCAGCGTTGTTATGAAATTGTATAAGGTGTTCACATTACTCAATTCCTAAAGCACATAATAAACGAAATAATTAAAATTGGTTTTATCTGTGTAATTTATGTAGAAGTGGTTCCAAGCGTTAGTAAAACAAAAAGTTTCTCATGGTGTTCCATCTTTCTGATTTGAATTTAAAAAAAAAAAGAATTATTTGAAAAATATTACTTATGTACAATATATAATTGAAAATAGGTTTTTAAAAATAACGGACTGATTACAGTCGTTTATATTTGGTCTTTCAATTTACTGAAAAACAAAATTTTTATTTTTAAACTGTTTCCATCATCAAAGGTATCTCTATTGAAATGTGGGTACAACTTTGTATACTACTTACGTATTCTTTTCATTATCCTGTTTTGATAATGAATTATACCCAGACCTTTCAGCAGAAAAGCTTCTAGTATAATGATTATTTCGTTTAAAATTAAATCAAAACTCTCTCACCCGAAAAAAAGTTATCTCTCTTTTG